CCACTCCGGAGTCTGGACATGCTGCAGGAACACCTCTCAGGGAGGAGCACGTGGGAGCTTTAATCCTGGATAAAACATTCCAACATCCCCCTTGGCATGGCAGGGCCTCTTCCCTCCCTGCACAGCATTCCCAGGCCTCTCCTGGATATGAGGCAGGGTGTTCGGGAATGCGCTCCATGGAATGAGAGCAGCGTTCTCAGCCCTGGCATGAAACATCTTGGCCAAAATCCAGGAAAATTGGACCCTGTGGATCGTCTCATTCCAGGGCTTGGACAAGGAACCCACGATGCACTTGGCAGAAGCACTGAGGGCAGTGTTAAACTGCGTCAAAATCAAAGGAATTTTTTTCCAAGGAAGGGTCTTACTGCTTTTCCTGGGTCCAAGCAGGTCTGAAAAAGGGGTGGGAATGTTTGAAAGCTTGGCCTGATCCCACCGCGGGATTTGGGAGCAGCATCCTGGCAGTGACAGGACATTCAGCATCATCCCAAGGGTCAGCCTGGTGTTGGATTTCAGCTCCAGGGCCCAGGTGGGGGAAGCTGTTCCCAAAATTCCTCCGTGCAGCCAAGTCAGCAGCTCTGGAATTGGTTCCTCAGCAGGATCTGGGGGACATCTCAAGGACAACGCTCCCACAGAGGCCACACGGGGCTGGGGACACCAGGATGTCACACACAGTGTGGTGTGACCGGGGTGGGATGGGTGGGGTGGAGGGAAGGAGAGAATTGCAAGGAATTTTGGTTGGAACCATCCCTGAATTTGTATAGGAGCGAATTTGGGATAGGTGGCACTGGGAGAGTGTCCCCTCTGGAAGTGTCTTGGGGACATTTGTCCATCAGGATCCTGCTGAGGAGCACCTTGGGATTGAGAGGTTCAGGACACCCTTTCCTACATCCCTAAAGCAGGAATTCTGGACAGAATCCCTGATCCAAGTGGTCTTCCAGATGGGACTTTCAGGAGGGAGACGGAAGGGGAACCTTGGAATCAGCCATTCCCTAAATTGTGCTCCTCGCTTGGAGCTGGAAAATCCAGGTCCCTCTCCTGTGTCTCTTTACTGTCAACACTTCACATTCCAGAGTCTGGTGGTTTCAGAAAAGGGTTGAAACATCCAGACAGGAAATATTTTGGGATTCATCTCCTGGACAAAACCAAAAACAGGTTTTGTGGTGCCCTCTGGAGCTGCTCAGGTTTCTTTGGCTTTGCTGTGCCAAAACCCCTGGAATGGAGGGCAGGAAAAGGGAGAAGTGGTGTTTGGGAAGAGGATTCCCAGCAGAGCTGCTGAGAAATATTGGGATGAAAATTCCTGTGTAATCCTGGCCTGCAAATGAGGGGCTGGAGCAGCTGGGAGAGAATTCAGGGAAGGATTGAGACCAGGAGCTTCCCACGGGATATGGTGGAGTTGGAGGAGTTTTGTCACCATCAGGTTTTTTGGGATGTGCCCATGTCACAGCTGAGGGATCAGTGTGGGAAGTCTCCAGCTATTGTGGAATGATCAAAAATAGACAGAGCCCTTCTTCCAGAGCCTTTGGAAAAACTGGGAAATGGTGGGAATGCAGTGTGTCCTGCCAGGTTAGAGCAGGGCCAGGCACTTTGGAATGATGTTGTAATCCTGGAGGAAAAATCTGTGTAGGCATCTCCTCCTTGGAACAGGATCTCCAGGGAATGGTCACAGCTCCAAGGCTTCCAGAGCTCAGGAAAAGTCTGGAAAATGTCCTCATGGTGGAATTATTGGAGCTGTTCTGCACAGGGCCAGGAGTTAGACTTGATGATCCTTATGGATCTTTCAAAATCTGGATATTTTGATTCTCCTGAAGATCAGCAGGAATCAGGCCAGGAATTGGGGTGATGGAGAAATGGCAAACAGCAGCTAATTCTCCAAATGGAGAATCCACTGGAAACCTGGCCTTTCCATCCCAGGAGAAGATGCCTATTGCTCCAATCCCAAGGATTCCCACCTTTCCTGAGGTTTTCCATGAACTCGTGGCTTGCTTTCCCATCACTCATGAGGATGTTCCTGGGAAGGATCTCTTGCATTTTTGGGAACAAGTGGAGGCATCACCCCCTAAAGTGTCTCCAATCCCAATCCACCGCCATCAGCTCCAGGGATTTTGTGTCCGTTCTGCTGAGCTGGTTGGAATTCCAGGTGTGAGTTGGCAGCAGGATCACATGAGCAGAGGGAAGATTTTCCTCTGGACATCGCTTCCCTTGGGTTTAGGATGGAAAAACCCAGAGTGGATCCACAAAAAATATTCTTCCTGCCCTGAGGAAACATTGCTGTGGATTTTAATCCCACTAAATTCCAGGTTGGATCAGGCCAACCCCATTTTCACTCATGAATTTGTTAAAAATCCATTAATAAGGGCACAAAAAATCTGTGGATTTACCTCAGGTGGGATTTTCTCTCATTCATCTTTTTTTTTTTTTCTGAAATTCTCTGTGTTTTCCATGAGAAAATGAAAATGCCTCAATTCCCAAGTTTTTCCTAAATGAAAACACTTCCTATCAAGTCACCAGAGTAAACCCGGTGGTTTTCAACAAAGACACAAAAATAATATTATGGAATCATAATATCATTGGAATATCTGTGGAATTTGGGCTTTTGAAGTCTATGCAAACACCACTTTTTCTGGGAATTTTGTTTAAATAACAATTTAAAATTCCAAACTCTTTATTATTCAAGCTCTGGAGGGTTTTCACTTTTATTTTCATTTGTCTTTTTTTTCCCATTAAAAAAAAATTAATATTTTCACTGGATATTCCTGACCACCTTGGATCCACCCAAATTCCACAGCTGAGGGCCACCAGGTGTGTGGGGACAATCCAGCAAGAATTCCACAAGTGGATTTCCAAGGGGAGGTGAAAATCCTGACAAAATATTGGCCGTGAGTCCCTTTCAGTGGAGTTGGAATGTTTAACATCCAGGTAGGATCGTGGGGAAAGAGTGGGATCATGAGCTCATTGCCACCCCATAAATGCAGGACTGGGGAATGTGGCTGGGACTTTTCCAGCTGTGGATTTTTGGGATTGTAGGAACAGGAGCATTGGTGCTCGTATGGAGTAGTTTGGGAGCATCATCCAGACTTTTCCAGGTGAAATCCATGAAAATCTGCTCAGGCCACAAAAATCCTTCCTGGTTATCAGCAGTGAGACTTTCAGGGATGGGCACAAGGAAAATATCCCATGGGGAGGGGTCAGATGAGGGATGAGGTGAGTGGGAATGATTTGGGAAGAGGGCAGGATTGTGGGATTCATTTCCCATGCTGGAAGGAGACCTTCTCCTGCTGCTGGAGGCTCTGGAAATGTGGGATTTATTCCTGCTTTGTGCCTGAGTTGCAGGAATGATTTCAGACTTCTGGGATTTACTGCAGGACACGGACAATGCCACCACCCCCCAGTCTCCAAAATCCTGGATTTTTTCCCTCTAAAGCTGCTCCCAAAACGAAGCAGCTCCACGGGCAAACAGGGAATTTTGGGAATGTGCAGATCCCCAGGATTATTCCTGACCATCCCCACCTTTCTGAGCTGGACCTCACCGGTGCTGTCCGTCCTGATCTGAGTCTTGCACAGGAATTTTATTTTTCCTGGATTCTGAAGGATGAGGAAAGGGTTAAGAGGACCGGGAGCTGCTGAGGGCTCCTGCTGTGGGGCTGGGGGTGGGAGTTGAGGACACTCCCGGGAATTCTGCCTCATCCTCAACCCATTTCCATTTCCGGAGGCTTTTCCCAAGCTTTATTTACCTGTTCAATATCAGGGAGCAATTCCCACTGCGGCCTTAACATTCCACGCTCCAAAGCGCGAACTCCACAAAATCCCCGCTCCCTCTTAAAGGAGAACATTCCACAACCCCCTGCATCCCCCCGTGGGGCATCCATGCATCCCTAAAAACGCTCCACGAGGCACCAGCCAGCTGCAGGGACCATCTGCACATGGATTTGCATGCACAGCACTTTTCCAGGGAATTTGTGCTCTCGGAGTCGGATCCATCCCCACTCCTGCAGGAAAAGCTCATCCGTGGAAGTGAGGACTGAGCACACACAAGGAATTGGAAAAGTTTTCCTCAAATGCTGCCTGGGTGGGAATTCCAAAGTGCTCATTCCAAGCCCATCCAACCCTGAATGTGTCCCTTGGAGGTTATCCAGGGAGATGTGGAAGTGGGATCCCACTGAGGTGTCAGGAAGTGAGGGAAAATCAAATAACTACAAAGAAGGGGTGAGAAGAGGAATCCCAGAACTCTCTGGGATTCTTCAGTAGGATCGGGTGAGCTTCAGGGAAAAAAAGGAGCTGGGAAAGCACAGCCAGGATGAGGAGATGCCCCAGGATGGAGTTTCCATGTCCCCACCAATATGTCCATAGGGACATGATCCATAGGGATAGACAAGGCTCAAAAGGCCTCGCTCAGCCCTGGCTGCTGCATTGGGAACACCATTCCCAAACCCTGCGGGCAATCCAGGATTCCTTGAGCCACCAGGGAATCCCAGTGTGTGACATCCCTGTCCCTCCTCATCCCTGGATTGCATCTGGGGTGAAAAATCCCATCTCGTCCCACTGTCATCCCAATTCCCATCCCGAGGTGGGATCCTTGCTCCAGCTGCAAACATTCACTGCCACTCCATTCCCCAAACAGGTGCTTTTTTCCTGGAAATCAGGATAATGGCAGGGGTTTTCTTGGACAGGGATATCCCCCCTGCCCTGCTGCCAGATGTGCTCCACAGCTGGTGGCTCCAGCTGCCGGTGGCTCTTCTCCTTGTGCCAGGATGATGGATGGATTTTCCCAGCAGGAAATTGCTGGCAGCAGCTCAGATGATCCATCAGCTGCTCCTTGCTCCCCATTTTTCCCTTTCCCAGCTGAGCTTGGCATCCTTGACCTTTCCTCAAGGCTTGGAAAGGCCTGGGAATGGTGCAAGGAAAGGAAAAGCTGTTCCCAGGAAACTGGGACATCCTGGTGGGATTCAAACTCCCCAGGGCTTGATGTGGTTTCAGCACTTCCAAACCTGCCAGGAATCACCTTCACATCCATGTATTTATTCCCAGATTTTGGACGTGAAACTCTTCAGGGCCATACTCCTGTTGTGGGATGGGTTTTGCTTTCTTGGAAAACAGGATACAAGGGGGGGGTTTCCTGCTTTTCCCTCCATCCCTGAGGCTGGAAAAGAGGTGGTGGAGAGGGACAGAGGGGCTGGAGAAGGGATTCTGCTGGGAAGCTGCTCCCTGCTCCTTGGCAGAGCCGGAGCCTCAGGATTAGTGCTTGTCCTTGCACTTCCGACGGAATTCTGTCTGCTCTGGAGGAGCCAGCTCGCCTGGTACTTTTCCTGCTGGAGCCAGAATGCCGGGACGGGGAAAATCCCTGCAAGGTGAGGGGGAAGGTGCTGGGGCTCCAGCTTGGATTCCTCATGGCATGGGAGAGCAGCTCTGGACGCCAGTGCAATGTGGATGCTGACCTGGATTTGGAGGGGGAAGAGGGAAAATTCTTTCCTCATGACAAGGAAAAATGTCGAAAGGGCAGGATGAGGTGCTGAACAACCAGATCTAGTGAAGGTATCCCTGATTATTGCAGGGAATTGGACTGGATGACCTTTAAAGACCCTCCCCAAAACCATCCTGAACTCATGGAACAGGAATTGCACAAAATTCCAGCCCAGCTCTGAGCTCCTGTTCCCTCTGGATGAGGCTGGAGAGCCCAACTGGTCTTCCCAGCTCCCAGAAGCATCCTGGTGCCTCAGGAAGGGTCTCCCTGGAGTGAGGACTCCCAGAATCCTGCATCCACCCAGAGATCCCTCTTTTCCACCCTCTCCCAGCGTTGGGATCAATCAATACCTCCGGATCTAACGAGCCACAGGAGCGGAGTCTGTGTGGGCTTGGGCAGGGTAATGGATGGAAAAAGCCTCTTCAGTGAGAGGGAAAGTGGGAAAAAAGGAAGGAAAAAAATCAATGGGAAGGACTGGGATGATGTCATAGCACCATTATTATGTCATCAGCCCCACTCCAGGGATTTATTGCTCTGGCTGTGATTTTCCTTGGAGCTTCCTGCCCTTCTCATTCCTGAGCTTTCCCAAAGCTGGTCTTGGCTTAAAGAAACAGGGAACAAGGGCATTCCAGACCTTGTGACATCCCTCTGGCCTCCCCACCACTGCAGGTGTTCCCAGAGGAATTTGGGAAACAAATTCTTCCCATTTTCCTTTTCACCTTTCATCCTTCGGGAATGAGCCTGGAAACATTCCTGGGCCTGACCTCTTTTCTCCAACCATGTTTTCATCCTTTTCCTTCCTTTCTGTGGAGAAAAACATGGAAAACAGAGCCCGAACCTCTTGGACCAGGCAGGTTCAGGGATCAAAACTCTTCTTTCCTGTTCTACCTGTCCTGATATCAGGATAGAAATCCAGCGGGATGAGTTTCCCACTTTCCCAGTTTTTTTTCCCATTCTTTTCTGCTGACTTTAGCTGGGAAAAAAACCATCAGGATAACACAGCACCTGCAGCGTTTCCCTGTGGATAGGGAAGGGAAAAGGCTATTTTGGGATGCCAAAACCACAGAAACATTCATGTTTGCCTCGGCCTGATTTAAAGGAAAGATAAAAAAAAATATTAAAAAAATCAGGATAAAGTCAACACATCCTAAAATGGGTAATTAAGAAACCTAAGTCTCTGTAGGATCATTATCCGAGCAGCATTCCACATGGATGGCAATTTCTAATGGCTGTTCCAGCAATTTAATATCCACTTTAATATATCCGTGTTTTCCAGCACAGAGAGCCAGGGCAGGGAGGCAGATTTGGGCTCAGCAAGGATTAAATAATGGGATTGCATCCCATAAAAAGCTGAGGGAACAACTCCCACCCCTCAGCCTCGTGATTAGGGAAGATAAAAGATAAGCGGAGCAGCCAAGCTGCCCCATGTGCCTCAGTTTCCCATCCCTATGGAGCAAAACCAATGGATTTAGGAGCTCCAAGCCAACCAGGCAGAGGAAAAGTCAAATTTTCTGGCAGGGTTGACCTGAATCCAAGGAAAACACACCCAAATCCCTGCATGCCACAGAACATTCCCTGTTTTCTCCAAGCTTTGAGTCACCTCCCACCCCAACCAGTTCCCACTGTGGGAAGGGGCACTGAATTCCCAACTCTCCCTGTCCCACATGCTGGTAATTTTTGAGCTTTGCCAGGTGGTGACTCCCTGGTTTTCCTCACATCCCACACTGTGGGAATAGCTCTGTTCTCCCAGTTAAGCCTGGATTTGTTATTGGATCCCGAAAATTCAGCACTTCCAGGCTGCGGAGGTGTTGAGGCTGCACCTGATTTCCTGCAGGGCTGGGCCGCATCCAGATGTGCTGGGCTGGATTCGGCATCCAGCTGTGGCAGGCTCTGGATTCCCACGTGAAGCCCAGCATCCAGATGTTCTGGATTCACTTTCCAGCTGTGCCAGGCTCCTCAATCCCACGCGAGACTCGGCACCAGCCCATGCACAGTTTTGGATCAGCTCCCCCCATCATCCAGATGTGTGGAGTTCAGCATCCAGCTGTGCCAGAGCCGTATCCAGCTGTGCCAGGCTCCTCACCCCTGTGCAGGATTCATGCCCAGCTCAGCATCCAGCTGTGCAGAGCATTCAGCCCCAGCAGGATTCCGCATCCAGCTGTTCTGGATTGTCCCGGGGCGTTCTGGCCGCATGAGGCAACATGTTTGGAATTATTTTGGATGTATGTCGGACTTTCCCACAAAAAAGGACTGGGAGAGGCAGAGATGATCCGCAGCTGGTGACTGCAAGGGATTCACTCCAGGGAAAGGGCAGGGAAAGTTTGGGGAGAATGGGAATGTCTCGTCCCTGAGATATCATTACGCTGAGATCTTTGCTCAGGGAATTTTCTTTTAACAAAACATTTTCCAAAGAGCTTTTCCTTGTCTGGAAGAAAAAGTATTCCTGTGTGTTATGGGGGTTGCAGTTTGGTTTTCCTTCAAAAAGTTGGGATGCTCGGCTGAGGTGGTGGCTGGAGGTGACAATGTCACCACCCTGACCTGTCTCCCGGGCTCTGGAGGTGGGAATTTCCCCAGGACTCCGCAGCACAAGGTTATGGACTCTGTGATTTTTAATTAATGCCATTGACTCGGAGCGTGTTGGGAAAGGGGAGGGCCTGGAACGGGAAATTGTCCCTTGGAGGGACAAAGCCTGACAACCTTGTCATCCCCAATTAGCAGCTAATTACCTCCATGACGAACATCTTTATTAATCCAATTAATAGCGCGGGTGGCGCGACCTCGGCAGAGCTGCTGACTCAGGGCGGGGCTCGCCAGCAGCGGGATGGGGGGAGGAAGGACTGAATTCCTCCTTTCCCAACTCCTTCACTAATTAGGGGCTGATTCCACTGATCTCCCAGCCTGATCCCAAATATCTCCTCTTTCATTCCTGTCCATCCATCTGCTTCTTGTCTGTCTCTTTATCCGTCCATCTTCCAACAGTTTTTTTTTGGGAAAAATAACCCCATCTCTGGGGGTTTAACACCATGGATCATGATGATCCAGGACACTGGGATGTCTCCCAGCTGGAATGTTGTGCTCATGCCTGGTGATCCACAAAGGTCTCAGTGTGCAAATCTTCCCTGAGCAGGGAAAAGTTCGGGATAGATGGAGAAATGGATGGATCAGTGGAAGGATGGAGGTGGGTGGATCTATGGATGGATGGATGGATGGATGGATGGATGGATGGATGGATGGATGGATGGATGATGGATGGATGGATGGATGGATGGAAGGATGGATGATGGATGGATGATGGATGGATGGATGGATGGATGATGGATGGATGGATGGATGGATGGATGGATGGATGGATGGATGATGGATGGATGGATGGATGGATGGATATATGGATAAATAGGAACCTTGGATTGGCGGATAGATAACAGACAGAGGTGAATTAATAGATTGATGGATTGATGGAGCAAATGGATTGATGATGCCAATGGGGATGGGACCAGGAATCCAACGGGAAGAGCTGGACACTGAAAGGTCACTGGAAGGCCATGTGCAGGTTGGACAGGTACAGGTGGGATGACAGTCCCTCATTCCTCCTGTGAGGTCATGTGCTTCCCAGTATGGATGGAGGCGCTTCCAGCACTTCCCACGGGGCTTTGTGGATCCTCATTCCCTGCAAAGGGAGCATCCAAACTGGGATGTCCCCTCTCAGGCAAAGCACAATCCCATGGAGGCACCACTGAATGTTCCACATTCCCAGGGCCACCAGCTGGGCTGGGAATTGCTGCAGGAGTGGTTTTTTGGGTTTTTTTTCCCAGCTCTCTTGTGGAGCGACCTCTTCTCCGTCTTCCCCCACAGATGGAGCCTCAATTAAATTCAGGAATCCATTTTTTAATAGGACTTTCACCTCAGCTCCCTGCCGGGCCATTAAAGCCATTACGGCAGAGTTAAGTAAGGAATCCTGGGAGCCTCTGGAGCTGTCATCCCATGTTTATGGCCCAGGCAATGTTTGCTTTATTAAAGATTCAGGAGCCATTTCCGAACGCCTCCGTTCTGTCCTTCCCATTACAGGCCGGACCCTGGCGAAAGGGTGACTGCAGGGAAAAAGAGGATTGCTCCTGAGATGGGAAAAAAAATAGGATGGGGTTGCTGGGAGAGTCTAAGGGCATGGCAGGAATGGAGAAAAAGGGAAGAGGAGAGGCAGGATTTTCATCCCAAAGTGCTGCTGGGTGTTGTGACGAAACTTTTCCAGCTGCTGCAGGGTTTGGTTTTCCCTGGTTTCCAGGAGTTGGGCAGGATCCAAAGGCAAATCCCTGCCTGACCCAACCACACAGGTTGCCCAGACAAATTGTGGAATCCCCATCCCTGGAATTGTTCAAGGCTGGGTTGGATGAAGCTTTGGAATAGGGCAAGGTGTCCGTATCCACGGAAGGGGTTGGAATGGGATGGATCCCAACCCAAACCATTCCATGTTTCTGTGATCTGGCCATGAAGAGTGAGATGACACCATCTGGGCTTTTTTCAAGCCATGATGGGGTCCCCACTGACTTCCAGGTCCCTAAAATTCCCTTCTTCCCACCACAATCCCCCATTTCTCCATTCCATGACAGTCCTCCCTCCTCTTTTGGACAACAGAGCAGAGACTCTCTGAAAGCATCCTACGGAAAACAGGGATCCAAGGAGATTCCCTTCTCCATCCCTGTCTTGCTGCCAGGCCAGCTCCACCCGGGCCAGGTCTAACCTGCTTCCATATGGGAGACACTTGTTCCCATCCGTGGTAATATGATCGATGGGATGGGATGGGATGGGATGGGATGGGATGGGATGGGATGGGATGGGATGGGATGCGATGGGATGGGATGGGATGGGATGGGATGGGATGGGATGGGATGGGATGTCATTCCCAGGTTATCCCCAAGTTCCCATGCATGAGAAGGTGGTCAAGCACTCCCCATGGATCACACATGGGATGGGATAAGGGGTTATCCCCATCCCAGCTTTTGTTCCCCGTAGGAAGCAGCTGAGGATGAGGAGCTCTCTTCCCAGCTGGACAAATTTTGGAGCTCAGCACCCTCGGGTGCATCTGAACTCCCACCCACATGACACCCGAGGGTGGCCAGAGGACGTGGAGCTACACCCACACCTGACATGTGACAATTTGGGACCAGGGCGGCTCAGGGTGACAAAGGGAGAGCGGGATCCAGCGTGTCCCAGCTCTGCCCTCTGCAGCTCCACCAGGTGCCATTGCCACTCCTGAACCTGCTGGTGTCACCCCTGCAGGTCCCAGTCCTCCAGCTGAGGTCCCCAGCCCTGGTGGCTCTGGTGGCTTCACACCCCCAACCCCGGTGAAGCCCCTCTTGGTGGTCTGATGAACTTCTCGGTGTTTGCTGCCACCTGAGGTGACACAGAAGGGTTTTTGTACCTCCAAGGTACTGGGGGGACAG